CCCCAAAACCCCAAAACCCCAGGGTGATCATTTTATACTTAGAATGAGGTTGTCATATTATAATTAATTATTAAAAATAAAGAACTAATTGATAAATATGCTGAGTATAAGAAAAAGACCTCAAATTGAGCAATCAGGCATTGGATCTTAAAATCAATTCTAGTATTAAAATGACCCTTCAAAGCAATTCTTTGACATACTTATACAACTTGATAGGGTAATTATAATGCAATGTTTGATAAATACCTTTTTAGCACGAGCCTTATCTTGCTGAGAGAATAGTAACAGTGTTTGAGCAAAATTTTGACTTAAGACCAGATGAAGAATGCTCGCCAGTAATGAAGGAAGAGGTAAATGACTAGTTCGTGTCTGATGAATCCTATTTCAAGAATCAAAGAGATGGTTCCCCAAACAGGCAAAAAGGAAATTCACCACTAAAATAAAGCGAAATAACCTCCTCTAAAATTGGATTTTAATCAATGATTGATAGTACTAAGATATCAAAGAACACAAATATCACTCCAAGAAATCAACAAATGATTGAAAGTCTTTTGAAATATTTACAAACTGCAAAAACAATAGCTGATATTTCGCTTTTGGACTTATTAATGAAAATTTATTTCAATCTTCAGAGATTTAAGTTTCAGGGATTTCCAGATAACGAAGGGGCTAGAATAAATTTCCATCTAATGTTTTATAACGCTATTGAAAAAATATTAGATAATAAGCATCTACCTATTAGATTTAATGCTCAGTTATGGTAATTTATTGCTTTTGGATTGATTTATTATATTTTAGTGATTACATTAGCTAGTCTTTTGGTATATATGAACTTGTGATCTAATGCCTAGGCGATAAGCTAGATAAAAATTAGATTGTAAAATTTTTTGATTGCTTTTGTCATCCAAAACTATAGATTTAGCTATAAAACATGCTTGGCTTGATTAAGTATCTGAGCCAGAGGTAAATAGAAAGTGTGATTGTTAAGATAAGAGAAAAATACAAGAACAACCTTAAGGAAGGTTTAAAGAAAGATAAGAATAGAAAGTTCGTTTTGAGGTTGTTTAGAAATTTGTTAATGGGATCAAATAATAATGCAATATAATATCTCCAATCAAATGAATTTTTGGAGATGTAGTAAACTTGCATAAGATATATTAATAAATACCTCTCAAAGAGCAACAATTAATAGGCTGTACTGCTTCAAAATAATGGAAATCAAATCGATTCCAGATAATCTAAAAAGCTATACCTTTTCAAGCATATAGAACCTTATCTAGGTCTCTTATTTACAATATTAACATCTAAGCAGAGCCTAGACACTCATTTACTTACAGAATTCGTTATTTACTTCTTTAAAACCTCTCTGGACAGACCAATTAACAGTCTTTTGCTAACGGCTGATGATATAAAACTTGCAATGTCTATGCTTTTCAAATCCTTATAAGATAATGGGCTGCTTAACAGGGAGAAGATCATCATCTTAGAAATTTTAGAAGGTCTTACCTTGTTTAGCTTGGTGTTTCAAAGATAAAATCAAGGACTAATAGATTTTATAACTCATTAATCCTAAAGCCAGAGAAGTATGCTTTCTGATTAGAGTACCTCTCTTAGTGCTAATGGGTTGTTAGGACATAACCATAATACTAATGCCCTCAATCAAATGAATTAGCATCTAGAATAGCTTAACTTATCCTAGCATTTTGAATTTGGAGTTTTACAGTTGATAAGATTAGAGTCTTCTAATGATAACTTCTAGGAAACATCTGGCTCTCTTAAATACTTAAATTAGCTAATAAAATTCATTCAGTCAATGAGGAAAAATGATGAGACTACTGCCAGAGCAGTCATTTTTATATTCGAGATAGTTGACATACTCTCATAGAACTACAGTGTTAATGAACAAATCAAGTCACACACCTAAATCCTTGTCCATAAACTTGTGAAAAGTTTTGATTTCATTGTCAAGTAAATTTCAGAGAATGAGCTATTTGCTCTTATAGAAAGAGTGCTAAGAATAGTAATAATTTAAATTAATAGAGAAGAACTCACTACTTTCACTCTTAGTGAATTTTCCAAGATTTTAAAAAGAAATAATTACCAAAACCTGATGAGCGGGATACTTGAGATTATGACCAATTTTTATCTTAATCATGACCCAAAGACAAGCTACCAAATTTTCTCCACTATCGTTGGAGTATTAACTCATAATTGGCATGAGTTCCAGTTACAGTAAGATAAGTAGGAATTTTCAAAGATCTTAAAATGCCTTTCCGAGATAACAACCAATCTAAGTTCTTCAAAAATAATACAGAATTAATAAGAGAAGCTCTATCAATAATTCATATAAATGTGGCTTGTGATTGCAGGATACATAAATCTAAACAAACTTGATAAAGAATTTGGATAAGATGAATTGAAGAAATTGGCTTTAGCTACTCCTTATCTCTAGTACTAAAGTGAATTTTCATTGCAAATAAGACTTGGCACAAACAAAGACATACTCGAGAACTTTATAACACATATGTATGCTCAATTTCCCTCTGTTAAGTAAAATTAAATCCTCTTTATAAATTTAGTGTAAGCCCATAGCCAAAATAGGCGGTCGTTTAATAAAAGGACAAAAAAAAGATAAACAAAAATTAGCAAATGGCTATTGAAATAATTGATGATGATGAAGAAAATGAAGGAGATTAAGATGAATTGAGCTTTGGTGAAAGAGTATTCTTGGCTCTTTATGCTTACATATCTGAACTTAAAATGTGTTCTATAGCTCATAGAGATATCGATAAGTACCAAAGTCAATCAACTAGAAATCTTGAACCTCTGCATAATAATTTTATTGAATCTCTGTTATTGATATTCGTAAATGAGAAAATAGATCAAGAGCTATTTATCTTCAAACTTGAGAAACTTTCTTATTCTCTCTTTGAATTATACTTAACGTAATTATTCTTAATTTCATAACTCATCTTTAAGCTATTTAAAGAGATTAGATTTTGACAAATAAAAAAGCAAGACCCTTGTCAAGGACTATACCTTTTTGCTTAAATCGAGTTGCCATCTTTAGGAACGATTAAGATCAAAAGCAAGATAGTATTTGTCTAGTCTAACTGAAAGTTTTCCTTATTTACTTAGCGAGCCTTAGATTTTCAACACCTTTATGGATGTTATAAGTAAGACACTTTATTCCTCCTAATGATCCTATAGCTGCTCTAAATACTGAAAACTATACAATTTATGACTCATTGTCTCACCCTCTGAGACTAATAAGCTCCTGTAAGATTAAAATATATTTAAACACATTGAATATAGGTGAATAAATATTGTCACCCACAGAGACCGAGAAGAAAAATGTCATCTTAGTGGACTTATAAAATTTATTCTTGGATATGTTTATCTATTCAAGTATAATCTCCTTCGATAGATTAAACTAGAATTTCGAGAACTATAAACTAATCTATCATTAAGGTAATAATCTCAAATACATATAATTTATTAGAGATTGAAAAGCTTAATCTAAAAGAATACTAGATAGCCTAGGGCAATCTAAATTATAGTCTGCTATTCTTTGAGCATTTGAGATCGACCTTAGACTTTACCAAAATAGAAAATTAAAATTTGCACAATCTGAGGAAGTAAGCTATACAGAAGCCCTGGCAGTTTATCAAAACGATTGAAGACATAAAGAGATAATCAAATGGCTTGCTTAGCAATAATAATGGAATTGGATCTTAAAGCATTATGAGTGGAATCTTCAACATAGCTAAGAAGCATTAATCTTGTCAAGTGTAATTAATGAGTAATAAACTTATTATAGTGATAAAATACTATTACTAAAGCCATTTCAAGGCTAAGAGCAGCATCTAAATTCTAATATGAGCACAGCTAGCAAGAAGCAGTTTTACTAGGGTGAAGTGCAGCAGAGATTGAAGAATATTCAATTGCTGAAAGGTGATAATAGAGAAATAGGGAAATCTTCAGTTGCTAGTTCAACTATCTATAACTCTTTATCCAATCATCTTTAGCTATACCGTGAAATAGAACTAAAATTACTTAAACTCATCATGAAGCTGGATATATATTATCAAGTACAGAACCTGCTCAAGCATCATACTAAGGAACAAGTATTATCTATTTTGAGAAGATAAAATGAGCATATTAACAAGATACTATTAGAGCAAAGGGAGAAATAAAATGCTGCTAGGCAAAACTTAAACATCAGCAGCAATCTTTAGCTTAATAAACTTGGCATCTTGCCTTAAATGAGCATTGAGTAAGATAACTGCTTTGTTAACATTTATAGATCAAATATGTTCTCTCATCAGTTGAAACTAGCAAAGAGTTTAAGCAGTGCGATAAGCTACGGAATGAATACTCAGAGTAAACTTGATCCAGGCTACAACTCATAGATCCCACTAATCATTAAAGATAATCAGAAAGTTAACTAAAATCTTTAGAAACTAGTTCATCATGTCAACAGAAAGAGATATCTTTCAAAGATCACATAAAAGTTCAACCATCAAATGGTAAATTAAGTTTTTTAAAGTATAATAGGGTCTTATAATGGCATTATTTGATGCGGTCTAGAAAAAAAACAAAGGCTAAATTGGTTCTATTGGGTAATAGATTTTGGCATTAGTTACTTAACTTCCAGCAGCTGTGCTATGCAAAGAAACTATTAACAGTTTTATATCCCAGGTGTTAAGCCACATTAATCAATCTGGGAATCCAATACTCTATCAAACGCTTTCTCAGCAGGTAATTTAAAACAATTAATGATAATTACATAATTACTTTTAGATGCTTCTTGGCTTTTAATATAGCATATCTAAAATTTAAAAGCAAACTACAATGTACCAAGAAGATCTCTATATAAAATCATTTGAACTTAAAAACACGATGAAACTAAGCATAATGGGGGTGTCTAAGTAAGTTACCTAGTCCAAGCATCTAGAGTCAATCATAGGAAAGTATGGATACATAAATGCTATAACCAGCAAGAGTTTGCTCTCACAATTTTCACATGATCAATTCTTAAAGATAAAACTGCAAACGAACTGGATGTAGGAAAACAGTGGAAAGCACATATTGAAGTACTTGAATAGCTATCTAGATCAATTTATAAATGATCTACCAATAATGATCACAAAAAGTAATAACAACCTTAACAGCTTGGCTTCAGTAGTTAATAAAATGATTGGGGATAGAGGGGAAGTAAAATGGTTTAGAAAGCTAAATTAAGAGAAGGATTTCATCAAAGTAGGATTGAAGCTGATTAAACTTGGACTCCTTCTAATTGATTTCACTAAGAGTAAACCATCATAATCAAAGGATAGTAGCATAAAGTCACAAGGCTAAGGCATAATCACCAATGACTTTCAGCAAAAAGTATATAACTTTAGCTTGAACTTCATGCAAGTATCCTACCTAGAAACAGTTAAGAACACTATGCTAGATCTCAAAGAAGAACTCTCCCTGATCGAGGATGTAAAATATCTACTCGAGTAAGATTAGCAACCACTAAACGTAGACAACACCCCAGATTCATTATGCCTGAACATTTTGCATGCGAAAGACAAGTCCACTCACTCTGTAGTCATGAACTCAGATTAAAACTTGTAGCTTTAAAAGGTCTTCACACGGCACAACCTCACTCCTCTATCTATTCAAAGATCTTCTCTGAGCTTTAGACATCACAAGACTACTTAGATTGTAATTAAAAAGGCTTTGCAGCATCAAGAGTACGAGCACATAGTTAAAAACAAGTAGAATGATCACAAGATGTATAATTCTCTTGCAGTGCACTTGCTTTTACAGTTGAAGTACACACTTATGGGATGGAATTACAACGAGAAGATGCTTGGCATCAGACTGCAGCCCACAATAGATTAAGCGTTCTTGCAGGAAAAGGCGTATAGTCTAGTCAGGTACATGCCTAAACTGATGACCAAGATATTCTTTAAGATAGGCACTAGTGCTAGGCTGCAAGATTTGATAAGACCTCATTTACAGGACGATATTATCAAAAGACCTTATTTATACATGTGGAGTACTGACGCTTTATAGATATATCTAGAACATCATCAGAATTAGAAACGACTTAAGGATGCTAGGTCAAAGAGTTCTATGTGGAGATGCTGGGACATCGTCAAGATGCTCAAATACATTGGCTTTAAGTATAATTCAGAGTACATGCTAAACTAGATTGCTTTGAAGCCCTTGGAGTTCGTGGAAAGCAAGATCATCCTGCTCTACCTCTCTCAGATATTCCAATCACTAAGAAATGACCAGCACCAGCAGATTCAGAGATTCCTAATCAAGAAAAGCAGAGAGTACGCCTCCGTAGCTCACAATGTGCTCTGGTTCTGTAAAGTTGAATCTTAGCTAGACAAAAGCAAGGGCAGAAAAGTAGCCCTGCCACTAAGGGAAAATCTTCCAGAGGTCGCTGAATTGCTTGAGAAAAATGTGGCTAAGATTATGACCAAGGTGCAGAAACAGTTCTTTGACATTGAGACGGAGTTCTTTGAAAGGGTCACGTCTATCAGTGGCTTGCTCAATCCTAAGCAGTCCAAGGACGAGAAGAAAAGCATTATCAGAGAAAGACTGCAAGAATACAATAAAAATATACCGTAAGCATTACAAATGTATTTCAACTTCATTTTATAGAGAGTCTGTTTATTTGCCAACCAATTCGACATGCAGAGTGGTAGGTATTATTCCAGCAAGCGGAGCCCCTATGTAAAGTGCTGCTAGAGTGCCAATCCTTGTATCTTTCGAAGTAGAGGATTACCCAGGTCCAGACAATGATCCCATCCTCAAGCAAGGTTCTAGTATCTCTGATGCTTCCACTCAATTCTCTGAGAGTTAATTAAACCTAAAATAGTCACTATTTCCAGTACTTTCTCTGCACAGTTCCAGAAAGAAGAACACCGTAAATACTCATAAGAAGAGATAACAATTAAATGAAGTGAAGAAATCTGCTCTAATGAAGCATGAGAGTATCATACTAGATGAGCAGTCAGCAAACGACTAGTTGCAAGAGATTTACATGGACAATGACAATGAGAGTGAAAGTGATGATGAGGACCCAAACACCTCGCCTAAGAATAGCAGTAATACTCTGCAAAGTAATCTAATGAGCAACAAAAATATATCTGGCTAACCGTCAGGGGTCAAGAATAAACTCTCTATGTATACTTTTGTGCCAAATAAGAATTAGGACAAATTTAACCAAGCCACTTATTCTTAACACCAAAGTTTACAGAGCCTGCAATCTGTGACACAAAGAGCAAGTCATAATGCTAATGAGGATTAATTCAAATCTGACTAAAAGAGTAAGAGTGCCTCTAAACCTTCCAGAGAAGAACTTAAATTCAGAGAGGAAGAAAAACTTGCAGATAAAGGAGAGATTGAGGAGATAAATTAATCATTTGGAGGATAATAGATAAACTATCACACTTTTGATAGGAATGCTGACACTATATACTCTGGAATGAACAAGAAGTCAACATATATGCCTATTGTTGATTTAGATCAGAGGAGTAGTCATTCACATCACCAGAGCATTGATTTTATGAGGAGCTATGAATAGAAATTTATCAAGAGCTCTCTTAAAAGAAAAAGATCATTCCAATCTAAGAGTCCAAAGCAAATGATTAGTTCAAAAGTAAATAAGCAAGAACTAAATCATAAAAACAAGAGTGTCAAGATAGTATCTTGCATTTTTAAAGTCAATGACGATCTTAGGCAGGACATACTGGCTCTTTAGATCATTAAACTATTCCAGAAGATATTCAGAAAACATGGCCTTGATCTCTTCGTTGCACCCTACAAATGCATATCAAACAGGACCGGTGAAGATAGAACACTCGGAGGTATAGTCGAGTGTGTACCAAGTTCAAATTCCAGAGATTAGCTAGGTAAGGCTTTTGAGATCGATCTATACTAGTACTTCCTTAAGAAATATGGAGCTGAGTCCTCAACCGAGTTTAAAGTAGCCAGACTTAACTTCATAAAAAGTCTTTCAGCCTATTCAGTTGTAAGCTACATTCTCTAGATTAAAGACAGACATAATGGAAACATTTTGATGGATGACTGGGGTCACATCATTCATATTGACTTCGGCTTCATCTTTGATTGGTCTCCTGGAAAGGATATGGGATTTGAATCAGCCAATTTCAAACTCACCAAGGAGTTCATTGACATTTTAGGTGGAAATCAAAAGGCAGAGGCATATCAGTTGTTCGTTACAAAGACTATCCAAGCATTCTTGGCTGTGAGAGAACATGCGAGAGAGTTCAAGACACTCGTGACTCTGATGATATACTCAGGATTCCCTTGCTTTAAGGAGCACAGTCTGTAAAAACTAGAAGATAGATTCAGACTAGATTTGAACACTCTTGAGGCAGCTAATTACATGAGAGGTATAATCTAGAATGCTCATGATAAGTGGACAACTAACTTCTATGATAAGATTCAGTATCTGCAAAATAAGATTGTCTTTTGAGCTAGAAAATACATTTGATTATTAAATCTTAATTTCATTATTTTCATAAAACATTCACGCTAGGGGTTTTGGGGTTTTGGGG